GCCGGAGCGCCCGGGCGCGCGCAGCTCCCGGGGCCGTCGCGGGCGGGGGGCTCCTCGCGGGGGCGCGGCCGGTGCGGCGTCCGGGCTCGGGCTGCGTCGTCGCCTGAGCGGTGCCCGGCGGGGTCGCCACGCGTCACGGCGCCCTTGGCCGCCGTTCCGCCTCTGCGGATGCCAGTCCCGAAAGCCGCGCGCCCAGGCAGCGCTGCTCTGGCGGCGGCCGCACCCGGCGGCGCAGCGGAAAGCTACTAGCTTTGGCGGAATTTCGGTTTCTAAGACCAAGGCAAATGACTGATTCTTGTAGGCTGGAAGGTCCTATAAAAACACGGAAGGGATCTACAGCTGTAGACGTCGGGAAAGCTTCGTCAGAGAGCCAGATGGGTGCTCCGGCTGTTTGTAATTTTGGAAATCACCGCCTTCTAAGATGACAGGCAAACCTCACAGTGAAAATCTGTGGTTCCAACAATGCACTGGCACATGTGGGATTATCAGAGGGCCTGTCTCTCCCGCAGAGCGCTCTGGTGTCTTCCTTCTTCCCACAGAAATCCGTTAAGGGGAAAACGAGGGAATGGCTGTGACAGGCGTGGCTCTGCCCACCAACCAGCGTGGGAGGAAATGGGAGCGAACCTCTGCCTGGGGTGTGTCCTCAGGGTGCCTCTTCTCCTCCCTTCTCCCCTGGAAAGGCAAAGAAGAGGCACCTTGCTCTCCCCCCCCCCCCCAGCCCCCCAGCTAGCAACAGACCTCCCTTAGAGCCAGGATGCCCCTCATGGGCTCGCCTGCATCCCCCTCCCGCAAGTGATAAGCCCTTTTGCCTTTAGCTGTTGCCGCCAGATCCCAGGACAAGCAACAGCCTCTCACCCAGGCCGGCTCTTCAGCGCTTGCTTCTGCTGAGCCTGCACAGAACCAAAAAGAGAAGTCCCCAGCCAGAGCCGCACAAGGCCCTGCCTTGGGGTGCACCCACATTATGGGAAGGTCGCCCAACAGTAGAGTCAATAAATAGCCAAACTAGGGGGAAATAGCTTGCCATTTCCTTCTCTTGATTTTGCAGCAGGTAATTTGTGTTGCAGTGGGGGAGTGTGTCAATCGGAGTATTGCAGGCACCCCTGTTTTAAGTGGTGAGACTTCAAGGGTTCCAGTGCTCTGCCAGGACTGGCTTTTCCTTGGAATGAGATCTCAGGCTGGCATAAGAACACCAGGACATGGAGAAGAGTCCTGCTGGATCAGGACGAGGTGCCACCCGGCCTGGCACTCCGTGCACACGGCGCAAACCTGCCGCCCTCCAGGTGCCCGGGCGGGAAGTGTGCGGGAGCTGCTGCCCGGCTCCTCGGCCACCACCGTGCACAGGCAGGCAGGCAGGCCACCCCGGGGAAGGAGGACGCTGCAGCAGCAGGCCTCGTGGCCACTGGTAGCCGCCTCCCTCGAGGAGCCGCCCATTGCTCTTGCAAGCGGTCCAGGCTGGCGCCGCCACCACTTCCAGCAGCGGTGAAGGCCATGGGCTGCGCAGAGAGCCCTTCCTCTGCTCTGCCCGAACCTCCCCGCTGGGTCGGGTGCTGTGGGGCAGGGACAAAGCGGGGCTCCCCTCCACGCGCCACACTGTGCGTTACACATGTCCCTCTATCACACCTGCCCCCTGCGCCTTTTTCTACGCTGAACAGCCCCAGTGGGCGCAACTGCTCCTCACAACGGAGCCGCTCCAGCCCCCCGACGGCTTCACTGCCCTTCTCTGCACTTCTGATTCGATGATGTGCTTGCTCAGGCGAGGGGGCCGGAGCTGGACGCGAGCGTCCAGGCGCGGTTGTGCCGGGGCTTTGCGTGAGGGAGCACAGGCTTGGCCGTCCGGTGTTCTTGCCTGTTCCCACTTACGTCTAGAGTGAAGTGCTCCTCTTGTAACTTGTAACGTCATCTTCAGCTTGCCTTGGGCTCCGCTGAGACGCGCCACCTGCACATTACTGGCCCTCCACGCCCTTTTGCCCTGCAGAGCCACTGTTGACTTAGGGAATGCTTAGAGCCAAGAATGGCAGAGCTGGGTGGTATCCCGATAGGGCAGCTGGACCAAGCTTCCAGCTGGCGCAAATACATCTCGAGAGGATATGTCTTGTTTTCCCACTGAAAAGTGCAAGAGTGAACACTCATACGGCACTCAAGGAAAACAAAATCGTTTTAAAAATTATCCCCATAGAGTCTCTAGATTAAATCAGGCAGATGTTGCCAAAAGGTGGAGACATGGGGGGTGTCAAGGGAACCCCCCCCACAGCATCTTGGTTCTGTCTGGACTGAGCTCTGCCCTGCAGGGGCTCCCGTCCGCTCTGCCGGGCTGCTGCTGAGGCAGAGCAGGTTGTCAGACTGTGCCGCTGGGTCTCCTCGCAAGCATCAACCCACAGCAGCCCCCACAGGCAGGCAAGAGACGTCACTCGCCCCTTTCCTCTCGGAGCTCTCTGTGTGGGGGAGGGAGGGGAGGACATGCCATGAGAACTCCTGAGGGTGCCAGCTAAATTTGACCCTAATCCACCATAAAACCACCCTATTCAGAAACGCGAAAAAGCACACAAAATTAGTCATGTCTCACAGGCTGCAGCTGCAGCGAGGATGCAATTTAAAACCATACTTTGTAACGTCAGAGGCCGTGTCTGTTCCAGAACCATCCTTGGTGCTGGCAGGGAGGTGAGATGCAGCCTTTATGCAAGCCCCAGTTCAATGCTAGAAATCGCAAGTTAATACTGTAAAACAGTTGAGAAAGGCCCTTTTTGAGGAGTGGTCCTCAAAAAAGAAGGGCGCGTCTGTCAAGATCTCGAATAGGCTCAGCCAAATGCAGCTGCTGTATCACTGGAGTCACCTGCTCCCTGTCAGCTCCTCTGGGCGACCGGCTGGCTGCGGCATTTGGGATCAGCTGAGTCCCTGAATGGCCCTCAAAGGCAGGGACATGCGCAGTTCAGTTCGGTACAGCAGTCTGAGCAGGACGCAGCTGGGGCTGCTTGACTGCCACTCCCTTGGAGTGGTGACACCTGGCCCAGGCCCAAATCCAGGTGCCTGCACAGACTGCAAGCCTGGGCATCCTGGGAGAGCGTGGCCCTCCCAGCACAGGCGGGATCCCTACTCTTGGCTGCCCGGGGGCCCTTCCGTTTTGTCTGGGTAGAGCTCCAGTTAGTTTGTGCCCTCTTCCACCCAGGCCCCAGCTTGGAGCCAGACCAGCTTCCTGGGGTTTAGATGGAAGGAAGCCCCTCCACTGCCTTTCCCTGCCTGCCGCTTCTCCATCACCAGGCTGGGTGTCTTCTTGCTAGGGCCACTCTGATCCAGCCGCCTGCTGCTTCCGGAGAAGTAAGCAGTGAAGTGTCAATACCACTATGTTCAAGCAGGCCATTTTTCACCATTTACATAGAAACATAGAAACAGAGCGAGTCAGAAGGGTCCTCCTGGGCCATCTAGTCTGACCCCTGGCTCCAGCCGGCTCCACTCACAACATGCCCACCATGTGCATGTCCAGCCTGTCCTTGAACACCCTCTCCAATGGGGCCTCAGCCGCCTCCCGGGGAAGCCCATTCCATGCCCTCGGGGTCCTAACCGTCAAGAAATGCTTCCTGGCTTCCAAACGGAACCTGGGTTCCCTGAGCTTTGCTCCATTGGAGCGCGTCCTGCCTTCCTCTGCAGGGGAGAACAGGTCTCTACCCACCTCTGTGTGGCATCCCCTCACCTGTATGTCTCCAACAGATCCCCTCTGAGTCTCCTCCAGGCTGGAGAGACCCAGTTCCCCCAGTCTCGCCTCATACGGCATCCGCTGCAAACCGGCCACCAACCTTGTGGCTCTACGCTGCACTGACTCAAACCTGGCTATATCCTTTCTGTAATGAGGAGCCCAAAACTGAGCACAATACTCCAGTTGCGGGCGCACCAGAGTCGTATAGACTGGCAGTAATACCTCTCTCAATCGAGAAGCCACACTTCTGGCTGTGCAACCAAGGGTGGCGCTCGCTGTCTTGGCCACCGCGTCACACGGCTGACTCATGTTCAGCCTGCAGTCAACCAGCATCCCGAGGTCCCTTTCACAAGTGCTGCTCTCCAGCCACTTGCCCCCTAACCTGTACTTATGACACCTATTCCTATGCCCCAAGTGCAAGACCTTGCACTTATCCACATGGAACGCCATCCTGTTGTCTCCTGCCCACTTCCATAGTCTGTCCAGATCCTTCTGGATCTGGAGCGCCTGCTCCTCAGTTGTGGCCACTGCTCCAGTTTTAGTATCGTCTGCAAATTTGATCAGCAGACTGTTCACCCTCCTTCCATGTCACTGATGAAAAGATTAAACAGGATCGGCCCCAGGACAGAGCCCTGGGGGACCCTGCTTGTCATCCCGATGATTCCCCACTAATGGTTACCCTCTGCTTTCGGTCAGTCAACCATGCCCTAATACACCGGACAGCGCTTTGGTGTATCCCAAAACTCCTCAGTTTCTCAACCCGGATATCATGGGGCACTTTGTCAAAGGCCTTGCTGAAACCCAGGTAAACCACATCCACTGCATCCCCTCCATCTAGCCATCTCGAAACCTTCTCCTAGAATTCCACAAGGTTTGTCTGGCAGGGCCTGTTTTTGTGGGAGCCGTGTTGTATGGCCACCAGCCTCCCTTCCCTATCTAGCATCACTAGATCTCTCGCTATTATGAGCCCTTCCATTGTTTGTCCAACAATGGACGTAAGGCCAACTGGTCTGTAATTCCCCAAGTCCCTTCTACTGCCCTTTTTGAAAATTGGGACCACTGACGCCACCCTCCAGTCCTCTGGAACTTCACTTGTTCTCCACAAGGCCTCAAAAATGGAGGCCAGCGGGCGTGAGAGAACCCCTGCCAACTCTTGAAGTACTCTTGGATGTA